AAAGACAAGAAAGAAAATTTGTAGTTGATAGCCTTCCCAAAAAGAAAAGTATAGGCCCAGATGTTTTCAATGGTGAGTTCTACCAAACATTTAAGGAGGAAGGAATACCAATTCTACACAACATCTTTCAGAAAATACAAGAAGAGGGAGAACTTCTGATTTCATTTTATGATGCCAGCATTATGCTAATATCAAAACCAAAGATAGTATAAAAAAGGAAAACTGCAGACCAATATCCCCCATGGACAGAGACACAAATATCTTCAGCAAAACTATCAGCAAAGCAAATCCAGAAACATATGAAAAGAATAATATGTTACAACCAACTGAAGTTTATTCCAGAAGTTTAAGGTTGGTTCAACATTCAAAATCAAGCAGCATAATTCACCATAGTAACAGACTAAAAAATAAAAAACATATCATCATTTTTATAGATGCAGGAAATGCAACAAAATCCCACTCATGAGAAGAAGCCTCAGGAAACTAGCAATATGGGGGAACTTCCTCAATTTGGTAAAAGGTGCCTACAAAAAGCCTACAGCTAACATACTTAAAAGGTGAAAAATGGAATGCTTTCCCTCTAAAATCAAGAAAAAGTCAAGGATGTCTGCTTTCATCATTTCTATGCAACATTTATAGTATTGCAGGTTGCAACTACAGATAAGGCTATTAGAACTAATAAGTGAGTTTAGCAAGGCTATGGGATATGAGGCCAGTGAAATCAATTGACAAACCAATTCTAAAATTGTTATAGAAAAACAAGGGACCTAAAATAGCCAAAACAACTCTGAGAAAGAAAAAGTCTGAGGGCTAAAATAACTTGATTTCAAGAATTACTGTAAAGCTACAGTCATTAGTCATTAAACAGCATGTTGTTGGCATAGAACAAATAGATCAATGGAACAGACTAGAGAATCCAGAAATAGATCTACATGGATACGGTAAATGGATTTTTTTTTTTTTTTTTGTGAGACAGTTTTGCTCTTGTCGCCCAGGCTGGAGTGCAATGGTGTCATCTCAGCTCACTGCAACCTCCACCTCCCGGGTTCAAGCAATTCTCCTGCCTCAGCCTCCCAAGTAGCTGGGATTACAGGCACCCACCACAAATTTGTAAAAATACAAATTTGTAAAAATACAAATTTTTTTGTATTTTTAGTAGATACAGAGTTTCAGCGTGTTGGCCAGGCTGGTCTCGAATTCCTGACCTTAGGTGATCCTCCAGCCTCAGACTCCCAAAGTGCTGGGATTATAGGAGTGAGCCACTGTGCCCTTCAGGTAAATTGATTTTTGATGATGTTTCAAAAGTAAATCAATGGAATAAAGGAAGTCTACTCAATAAATAGTACTGGAACAAATGAAATTGGTATGCAAGGAAAGAAACCAGGATATAAACCTCACAGCTTTTATAAAATTTACTCAAAATGGATCATAGATCTAAATATAAAATGTAAATATATAAAACTTTCAGAGACCAGGTGCATTGGCTCACACCTATAATCCCAGCACTTTAGAAGGCCAAGGTGGAAGGATCGCTTGAGGCCAAGAGTTGGAGACCAGCCTGTGGGCAACATGGAGAAATCCTGTCCTCTCTATAAAAAATACAACAATTAGCAGTGTGTGGTGGGGAGCAGCTATAGTACCAGCTGCTCAGGAGACTGAAGTGGGAGGATCACTTGAGCCCGAGAAGTCAAGGCTGCAGTGAGCCATGACCATGCCACTGCACTCCAGCCTAGGTGACAAAGTGAGACCCTGTCTCGAAAAGGAAAAAAAACAAAACAAAACTTATAGAAAAAACAGAAGAAAATCTTCAGGATCTTAGACTAGATGAAGAGTTGTTAGATTTGACATTAAATCCATGATTCATAAAATAAAAATTGTATTGGGGATTTCATTAAAATTTTTAAATTTTAGTTCTTCAAAAGAGAATGAAAAGACAAAAACTATGGGCTGCTAGAAAATATTTGCAAATTAAATATGCAACAAAGAACCTATATCCAGGGACAAAAACAGTGCCTGGCTCTTGTCATTGTTTTGAAAACCAAATGAGTTAATACAAGTTCTTAGTGTAGTGCCAGGCACATATAAACATTCAATAAAAGTGAACTATTATAACTTTATTATCACTGTTATTATAGGATTCTTTAAAATTGATAAAATAGATGCAAGCCAAATGTTCACCAATAGAGAAATTGTTATATTATATGTATTACAAGGAATATTTGACAATGCTTTAAAGAACGAAGTAAATCTATATGTACTAACCTGGAAAGGTGTCCAGAATTTTTGTGAACAAAGCAAATTGCAGGACAGATAGTATAATATGATCCCAGTTGTGCAAAAAGAAAATTATATATTTTCTGAAAAATTTTGTAGAATGGTACTCACTAAACGGCTAACAGTTGTTATCCCTGGGTTGGGGAGTATGGAATAAGGAGGAGAGCAAAGGGAAAGTAGGGGGTAGGGGAAATATAAAGGGGGTCTTCATGTTTCATTCTATTTATTAACATAAGAATATATTTATTGTGAAACAAAAAATACAAATGAAAATAATTATCTTTTAAAAGACCAATGATAAAAAATAACTTTCTGATTGTCTTCACTGATGGATTCAAGTGGATGAAGTACAAGCCTACTTTGGACTGAAAGGTTTGCCTAAAAACTGCCTGAGCTTCCATTTGTAATAGCAAACATTGATGGAGTGCTGCTTGCTGGCCTGACAGCACGAAGAACTGAGTTATTGTCCTGGTTGTGCCAATAACTAGTTTTGCTATGTTATTATTATAAATGTTAAACTATAAACTGGAATCAAGTCTTTTTTTTCTGTCTTCCCAGCCTGTAACACAGGGCCTAGTTCGGAGTTAGCGCTCCGTTAACAGGAGGGAGTGACAGGAATTGAATTTAAGCAGCTGCAACAGCCCTGTCCAGGCCCCGTCGAAGTGACACATGATCACCATCTAGTGGTAAAAAGGATTCCTGCAAAATTTAGCTATGAAAGGAAAAAGAATTCTTTCTGTGGTGTGTTCCAGGGACAGATGCCAGTCAGCAAAAAAAGCATTGACTATCTATGATCTTTCTTAGAGAGAGTTCCCAACCATCAAGGTTTATGTCTTGGAGTGTTGGTAAGATGACACCTAGGTACTCTTGTGTCTTAAGTCTGGTCCCTGCCCCATCATCACACGCCCCACATATCTCTAAGTTGCACGGTGTCCACTCCTGCCACATCCCCTACAGGAATGAACCACATGTGATAATAGGCACACACACCCACGCCTTTCCAAAGTTGATGAAATACTAATAAACTTCCCTAAGCCAGTCTGCTTAAGATACAAAAAAAGACTGGGGAATAAAATACTCTATAATCTTTGCCCTCCGAGGTCCACCATCTTTCTGTATCATCTACTAAAACTGTATAGTGAACCTTTAAAATGTCTGTCATTCCAAAGGACAACAAGGAAACCCATCTTGAGCCAACATTTCAAGCACTGCTGTGTGACAAAAGCCTCACCCGCTCATGCAGGTGATGGGAGCAGGTTTTCTTCTCTTGCCTCCTTTGAGTAGCTTCACAGTTAAGGAAGCAGCTGGATAATGCAGAGGCCAAGAGATATTGGACCCTGTGCTTATGGACTCCTGGACTCAAAAGCAAATGATGCAGGGACACACTGGCACTTAGAGAAATCTCAGTATTTATACACCCCTGATATTCACATGCTAAATACAACAACCTTCCTCTAAAATTCTGTTCTGCAGAACAAACAACAAAAATCTTTTCAAAGACCCTTAAGAGAGAAACAAACACTGTCTAGCCTGGGGTGAATGGGGAAAGAAGGTTTGAGCAACTCTATGTTCAGGAAAATCTCCTGCCACATATTCTGGAAGTATTCATACATTATTAAAGTCATTTTATAATCCCATCTCTTGAACTTCCACACAATATGTGCCTCATTTATGTGGGAACAAAAACAGTTGTGAAATTTGGCCAAAAGAGGACAGCAGTTTGAGAGCATTGTATAGACAAGAGCACAAGGCTGAACCACATTTGGGGTGGGTGCTTTGGCTGAGCGCAGACATGGGCGAGTTTGTTCCTACCACCGTGCAGTGAAGTTGCAGAGAAATTAGGAATTAAGAACAAGATGATTCCATCCAGCTACTCCCAGCCTAAAAAAAGCAAGAAGGCCTAATATCTATTTATATGCAACTCCCTGGGGACTGAAGTGGTTCTTCCTAATGGCTGAAAAATACTGAGTAGCAATCAGGTCTTTAAGCAGAATGTTTTTAAAACCTTATCGTGAGGACGCTGATGGAGATAACGAACTTTTGAGGTGTCGATAGCACATCTTAAAACAGTAATGGAATATGTTGGAAGATATGCTCTTCCAAGTATTCCTAATTTCATACTAGTAAAAGTCAATTGTCCTGCTGGCACTATAAAAGCGCAGTGTCAGCATTAAGAAGAAGCTGAAACGGGTTACACGATGAGAAACGAGTTACACTGTGTAGGGTTCCAGACAGCAGTGTCTGATGACAGCTACAAGAGCAGCACTCCGCACTCCTTACGGTCCTGGGGGAATGCAGGCAACTCCCCTCCGGCTGTCAGTCTCCCTATGCCCTGCCGCGTCCCCCTCGCAGGGCAATGGGTGTCAGAGCCACCCCCCGCCAAAGAAAGGGGCACGCTTTCGAGATGTCACCCTGGCCGCTCCTGCACGGAGACTGGTGCCTGAGGTTTCAGCCCCAACCCGCCTCCCTCCGCTAGAGTCAGCGGCGGTCTGGAGTCCCTGAGACCCGCGGGCAGGCGCCACCTGGTCTCTGGCCCGCTGCCTAGCACAGCGGCGACGCTGGCTCGACGTGCGATTTCGCTTTCTGTCCATCGGCCTCGCCCGCAGTCCCGGCGCTGGGAGCGGCTGCGCCTGGCGCGCCCAGAGCCCCGCGGCTTCCCCGCGGCCGCCTCGCGGGCGGGTGCCCCGGGAAGCGAAGGCCGGGCGGGTGGCGGCGCCCCTACTCACGTAGCGCTGTAGCTTCCTCTCGGGGGGCGACTTAACGAGCCAGCCGGTGCACACTGCGTCGCCCGCACTCATCGTGGCCGCCGCCGCCGCTTCCTCCAGCTGGGCCAGCCGCCCGCGGCAGAAGGAAGTCGAGCCAAGGATGCCGGCGGGGCGGGCCCAGCGCCCGCCCGCCCAGCGCCGCCCCGAGCTGCCGCTGCGACCCCCGCCTCCGGCCGCTGCGGCCCCCGGGGAGGGAACCGACGCCGCCCGCCACCCAAGACGGCGAGAAAAGCAGGCAGCGAAGCCTGGGAAGCCCCTTCGAGCAAGTGCAGCGCCGCCAGCGGCTGTGCCCAGGGGAGCCTATGCGGCAGGGCGCCTGCCACTCTCACCCAGGGTCACGAAAAAGCGCTCGGAAGGAGCCCTGCGACCTAATGGGAGCACAGCCTGGAACCTGTTGCCCTCAGGCCCCATCCCCAATCAGCCAAGCCAAACGGGATGGTCCCTGGGCCTCAGGGACCCTGGAGCCGAAACCGACGTACCACCCACAACTGCCATGTGCATAGTTCACGGAGAAACAAAAGCACGACTCCTCTTTGACTTCCCTATTCCACTTAATTATTTGCAGAGTACTGTGTTTTCTATGTCCCTCCCCCAAACATCGTTGTATTGAGTGATAAGCTTTGCTGGCTAAATGGTCTAAATGTCTTAATGAACCCAAATGACCCAAACTCAAAAGTGCTGTTTGCAGTCTCTTTGACTCGAAGGTTTTAAAAGATGGATCTAAAGTTGATTGTGCCAACTAGTGTGCTGACCACGCTAAATAAAAATAACAATCATGAGCACCTAACACTTGTGACCTTCCTTACTGCCAAGCGAACACCATGCCAGCGATTGTGCTAAAGCACTTTACAGGCGTTATCTCATTGAATCCACACAAACACCCTGTCAAAGGGCTCTTATTATTATCTCAATTTTGCAGGTTACTAAAATGAAAAACAGGATGACAGTGTCACTTGTCAAGAGCCACACAACTAGAAAATCATCCATAGGAAGCCAGAGCTGTGCCAAGAGCCCATCCACTTAAGCACCACCCTCTGCTTTTTGTGGGCATCATCTGTGTGACGTTTGCTAGCATCTTCAACAAAACGACCATCCTACCATCCTATCAGGCCAGGTGCTTCAGGGTGATGAGCTAACATGGTAACACTAGTGGAGTCCATCAGCATGCGCACACTGGCTTATAATGATTTTCTTGTGTGAGATAATGTCAGTGTGAATAATGGGTTCAGTAAGTCAATGGGTGGGAGTGCCAGCAGAAATGTGAATTTTTAAAAAGCGAATCCATGTACAAAATTATACCTGTTCAAGTGAGAACAAATTGCTGCCCCTTCCAGATGGCAGTCCAGGTGGCTGGCTGGTCCCTCCAGGGAATGCTATGTTATTAGGGGCTCATTGTTTGTCTCTGCCTGTGGGCAGCTTGAGCACTTAGCAGTGGCTGTGGCCATATCAACTGTTGCCAGTCCCTGAGAGCCCCACTATGCATTGCTAATTATCTAAGTCTTGCTCACACCTGTGTTAAAAAAATCCCTTAATTATACTTTCCTCATTTCAACCCCTTGAGCCTACCATTTGCTTCCTTTTGAAACCTTGACCAATAGACCTGGTCATGAGGAACTCCCTATGACATTCTAGGTGTGAGTCCAGGGAATGGTGATCATGCAGCAGCAGGGGCCACAGAGATGTGAGCCACCTGCTCAAGCAACTTTCCTGTACCTTCCAGACCTTCTTGAGTCTGGTCTCAAATATTCCACTTCCAATAGAAGACCAAGTAGCACCAAATGTATCAGGGGCAGCTGAAGTTACATGGTTCTTTGGTGCCCCACGGTCAAGCATTCAGACTTTGCCACAGCCCAGGAGCAAGCTGGAAGCTGTTGGTCAAAAGGAAAATACTTCTTTTGTGGTTGAGGGCATGGTTTACTTCAAAACTCTAGGGGTTTGCTGTATGTTTCTCTTATCGGGACTTGCCAGAGGCTTCATGTAGCCTCCCAATGTGTCAAAGGTTCTGTACCTGTTGAATCTACATAGTCATAAGGGTCAAGTGGCCTGGAGCTGTCACAGAGCCTTTTTTTGCCCTGGATCTCTCCCTGAAAACATGCAACCCTACAGATTACTTGCTGAGTGCATTGGTGCGGCACAATTAAGTGTAGCATATGTTGCCTACAAAATTCAAACACCCACACCAAATGCTGTGCCTCTTTCTGAGTGGTAGGTGGTATGAGGTACAACAACATGTTGAATACCCAACATGGTCCAGACCATCTAAAAACTTTGCTGAGGTTCAGGCTCTTGAGTTTTCATGGGGCTTATCACCCGCCCTGTGGTGTACTTGTATCTTAATAAAGCATCTAGAGTATTCGCTACCTCTTGATCATCAGGTCCAGTACATATGTCATCAGTGTAATAAACCAGCACGACATTCACAACAATCAAATTCCATTCAACGTGGATTATGACAGTGAGCCAGAGAATAGATACAGCCCTAAAGTTGTACTTCTGTTCCTGCCAGATGAAAGTAAGCTGCTTCTAGTGTTCTCTGCTGAATGGGAAAAAATAACATTTGGCAGATGGATAGTTGTATCCCAGGTGCCAGGGGCCTGTGTTGATTTGCTGTAGGAAAACAGCATCATCTGGAATAGCAGCTTCAGTTCGAATCGCAACCTGATTAATTCTACAATTACCCACTATTAATCTCCAAACTAGCCAGATGGGTTAAATAAAGATGTGATATGAGTAATTATTCCTGTATCTTTTAGGGTACACTGTTCTCCCTGCCGGAGAAATTGAAATTGTTCCTTCATGGAAACCCATCCCAGTTTCTCTGCACTCTAGCCTGGGAAGAGGAGAGAATTTGAATAGCAAGTAATTTTTGGCACCTGAATTCCCTTTGTGGCTTCTCCATTTATTTTTTATTTAAAATAGACTTTGTTTCACAGTTCATTAACTTCTGTAAATCTTATAACTACAAACTTGTGAAAATAAATGCCCACTATTACAGAAGAGTTTCTATCTCAATTACATCATGATGAGTCAAAGTGGCTATGCATCTAACTTATTCGCTATGAAAAGAAAATTTGAAAAGAAAATTCTGGATCACAGACAGGCATGGGAAACAGTTTCACATGTGTGTGAAAGTCAATAATGAGGGAAAGGACTGCACCTTCCTATATCTCCCACCTCCCACCCACCTCTTGATTTAATAAATCGAAGAAGTATGTGAATTAAAGGCCTGGAGTGCCATGGCACAAGTTCAGATAGGGGAACACTCTTTTGCCTAGATAGGCATCCATAAAGGACTTCTCTAAGAGTTAAAATCATCTAATTTTCATCTGGAATATGAAATTTGACTTTATCATTATCAATGATAGTCTTTCGTCATATCCATTATTGTTGTATTTAAAATTGCCCAAAATTGGTCAGGTATGGTGATTCACACCTGTGATCCCAGCCCTGTGGGAGGATGAGGCAGGAGGATCCCTTGAGCTCAGGAGTTTGAGACCAGCCTGAGCAACATAGGAAGACTCCATCGCTAAACAAACAAACAAATAAATAAATAAAAGATTGCACAAAATTTGTTGTCATAAGTCCAAATCAAACACTTCTCAATTGATTCCACAAAGCCAGTATTACTCTGATACTTCCAAAACCAGAAAAAGTTAAAGAAAGAAGGCTATATGCCAATATGCCTCATGAATATAGACACAAAAATCCTTAGAAAAATATTAGCAAATAGAATCCACAAATACATAAAAAGAATTATACACTATGCGTCTCAAGATGCAAGGCTTGTTCAATATTTGAAAACCAATTAATGCAATACAGTACATTAACAGACAAAAGAAGAAAAATCACATGATTTATCAGTTGATGCAGAACAAGCATTTGACAGAATTCATGACAAAAACTCTCAGAAAACTCTCAGAAAATGGGGGAATTTCCTCAATTTATTAAAGAATATCTGCAGAAGACCTACAGGTAACATCATACTTACTGGTGAAAACCTGGACACTTTCCCCCTAAGACTGGGAACAAGGCAAGGATATCCACTCTCCCCACTTGTATTCAACATAGTACTAGAAGTCCTAGTTCAGTACAATAAGATAATAAAAAGAAACAAATTGCATAAAGATTGGGAAGAAAATGTCTCAATTTGCAGAACATAATTGTCTCCACAGAAAATCTCAAGGAATATGCAAAAACAACTCCCCAAACTAATAAGTGAGTTTTGCAAGGTTGCAGGATAGAAGGTCAACATATAAATCTCTTTATACAATTTCAAGGCTTATTATAAAGCTACAGTAATCAAAACTTTTTGTATTGGTGAAAGGATAGACATATAGATAAATGGTATGGAATAGTGAGCCTGGAGATAGGCTCACATAAATTCGTCCAACTGGTTTTTGACAAAGGTGCAAAAGCAATTCAATGAAGGAAGGATAGTCTTTTCGACAGACTGTAGCAACTGGACGTCCATAGGCCAAAACCAAACAAAATACCTCAACCCAATCCTCACACCTGATACAAAAATGAACTCAAAATGGATCCGAGATTTAAATATAAAATGTAAAACTACAAAACTTTTAGAAGATAAAATAGGAGAAAATCTTTGGGACCTACGACCTGGTGATGAGTTCTTAGACATGGCACCAAAAATACAATCCATAAAATAAAAACCTGAGGCCAAGTGCACTGGCTTATGCCTGTAATCCCAGCACTTTGGGAGGCCAAAACAGGAAGATCACTTGAGCCCAACAGTCTGAGACCAGCCTGAGCAACAAAGATAGACAGCGTCTCTACACCAATTTTTTTTTTTTAATTAGCCAAGTGTGGTGGTGCACACCTGTAGTCCCTGCTACTCAGGAGATTGATGCGGGAAGATGGCTTCAGCCCAGGAGATTGAGGCAACAGTGAGTCACAGAGCGAGATCTTGCCCCCCCACCAAAAAAAAAGGAGAGAAAAAAGTGATAAATTCGACTGCATCAAAATTAAGACTTGTGCTCTACAAAATACCTTGTTAAGAAGTATAAAAAGACAGCCAGGCATGGTGGCTCACACCTGTAATCCCAGCACTTTGGGAGACCAAGGCTG